TTATATGATTTCAACAAAATTTAAGTAGATTACCTACGTGGTTTGGATGGAAATTGTGAAATGAATATTTCATTAAAAAATCACTTACGATATGAATAAATGATAGTTTGGGGAAATATTCTGAAATGTTTACGTGATTTTACTGACTAATAACGATTTTATGATAAATTAATAACTAAATATTTATAATATCTCTTGAAATCAATACGCAATAATTAAAAAGTTGAAAAATACATTTGCAATCCTAAATCATGTCCGTTGAAGTTATAAATTAATTTAAAAAAAAAATTATTCTTTACAAATTTAATTAAACAAGTAAGAAATATAAATATATATAGGCATATATGTTACGTGCAATGCATTTAATATGATACATTTAAACACAGATTTTCCTAACTTTTTAATAAAAAAATCAATACAAATCTATAATATCGAATATTGATTTCATAACTTCTGAAAGCTTGAAATAAAAAATAAATTTAATTACTAATATATAATTTCACTATTTGAAAATCATGCTGATAAGTAATATACAAGCATGGTGTATGGGCCGGAAGCGTAATAGTGATAATATGCGCGCCCGGATACCAATGCTTATTATTGCATCACTATAACTAGAGATGTATTTAGAGTGTTGACGCCCCAGGTAAAGTCTTATTATCACCCCTACACACGGTTTATACATTTTTTCAAGAAAGATAATATTTATTATTTGATTGACAAATGAAAATAGATAATGGATTATGGTTACAAAATAATGCTACCGTCCAAAAAAAAAAATGCCGCCTGGAGCGATGGTACCCCTCGCTACCACTAAATACGTTCCTAACAATAACACCTTGAAATTCAATAAATCTAAGAACAGCTAGGTGTGTAGCATCCAGACAATAGTAATCGGGATTGCCGAGCAAATACTTCCGAACTGCGTGATGTTTGTTGTGATGACAATTTGTTGAGTGTATTCGTGTGTATTGGCGTGTGTGTGTGTTCTTAGAAACTAACGAACAAATACAAATTAATATAAATGTAAATATTCTATAAATAGTACATTTGAATGTATAAATATAAGTGAAGATGATATAATTTCAAAATATAATACGCTGCTGTTTTACCATTCTTATTATTCTATCGTTACCCATTCGAACACAAGTGACGATTCTCAGCTGCCATCGTGACGCTTGGAGATTATCCTCTTTTATCAGCACTGTAGTTTGAAGGTTTTTTCAATTTTTGTTCGAGGTTAACATATCACCCCTTATCCACTGACCCCTTCGATCGCTCCTGCAATTGTCCAAGACACTCTGCGTTCCGGCGCTGCCGTAAATGCTATGAACACTGAGCGACCCTACGTCATCTCGTCAGATGATTTATAGACACATCGGTTAGATTGGCTTCTGGTACGGCACTGAACCTGTTTCCTAACAGGAAACAACCGGGGCACCATTTTTAGGATAGAACGGATCTGAATATAATGTAGTTGCAGGACGGGAATTTATTTTTTAAGCACGCTTCCGCACGGGTTAAGAGGATACTTAATTCTTCGAAGGTTTACACTACATAAATCGCTTAATAAAGACTATCGATTTCACCGCTGCCCCCTTCCCGCAGACCACCGAAGTGCGAGTAGCTGGTTGGAATAAAATGCCACGATACACCTATGTCAGCAAGCATTCTTTTCATACTATATAAGTGCTGTTCCGACGGGAATATTATACAATGTCTACGTATATAGTATACATACGTGAATGTATGTCGTGAATTGTAAACGTTATGAATGTGACGCACATATACACACACACATATATATATATATATATATATATATATATATATGGTATGTAGTGAATTACACACAAAACATTTTATTTCTAAGGAAGTCACGAATGACATGCTACTTTTGTCGAACTTGATTTTTCGATTTGAGTTCATATATATTCGTTTACGCTATCAGTATTTAAGCTTATATTTCAATAAACAACCGCAGGATAAATCGGTTTCGTTCCAAATTATTCTAAATAAGTTAAAAAATCAAATTTTGCATTTCAAGTTAATAAAATAAAATTAATACAATTTATGTAATCGATGATTGTATTATGTACAATGTATTTGTAATCCGATTGAGTATATACAAGGATTGGAACCCAACTTTACCACTTAAAAACCTCTAGTAGAAATGTTAAAGAATCCAAATCAGAGTTACAAACTCGTTTAAAAAACGTTTTTCTTTGATTCAAATGTTGTTTTTTTTTTTCAATTTTATAGCCCATATTTTTTAATAAACCCCGATACAAAGTGTATAGTCCAAAACTGAAAGTGTATACTATAGATTCGAGAAGTGTGTACTTAATAAATACTAATAAATAAGACTACTATGAAGGTGTTTTTCAGGAAGCCAGTTTAAGCAAGGTAGCTGATGAAAACTTAAATATATCTATCATATTTTAAGTTATATATACCACATTAAAATAAAAAAAAAATTATAAATAGTTTTCAGATGTATACCAGTCAAAAGTATATTTTCAGTTTAAAAAATAATAACAGATTGATAGTTACCTAATTATAATGTGCAATTTGATTAATAAAAAAGAACTACCTATTACTAAAAATTATTACTGCCGTTGTACTAAAATGGAAGGGGATAGCGAGGGTATCTGCATCATATCATTGTAAATGTTTAAAAAATGTGTAATACAAATTGTTGTGAAAAATAGAGGCTGCTAATGACAAATCATTAAGTATTGCACATTTCAACTGAGTTAGTTTAGATTTATACTGTTAACGTGGAATTAAATATTTTTATGTGCACAAATCGCTGGTTTGATATATTACGTTGGTATAAATCACCACATTTTTTTTATTTTTTTAACGTGTGCAAATCGTCCTTGTTATATTTGCAGTTAACGAGTTGTGAACCGACAAAAAAAAAGGGATATACGAGTAACTCGTGGGGCACAACTGTTATGTCCCAATGAAAATGTAACGAACAACTGTGAAGGATTTAATTTCAAATTTTAATTTTATGTTCTATTAAAGCTATTCCAATATTTTTCAATTTATTGAAGTCGTAAAGAATTTGCAATATGATATTTATAATAAAATTATAAATACTGTAATAATATCAGAGATTACATGCGAAATAAAATTATTTATTAGTTAAAAACTAAATGCATATAAAAATAAACGAATTTCTAGATTTTTATTTATAAGAAGAGTTTAATTTAAATTTTTGAGTAATATGTAATTATTTTGATGTTTTATTTAATTTTTTTTTTTTTTTTGTCAAAATATGTTATATTGTAAAATGTGTACATCTGTATAATAGTGTGAAATGGCTTAATTTTAATTTTTAATAGTTTTATTTAATTTTTTCACAATGTGTATTATTTGATAAACTTAACTATCATATTCTAAATTAGTTATGTTTTATGATGTACATTAATAGGCGTACAAATAGATGGTTGCCGGGTGTACCCGGTTGTTCACTGAAATATTGTAAATGGGGCTCAACAATTTAAGTTTAAGAGTAAGGAGGTCCATTATAATTTATGATTTTTAAATTAAATATAATTTATTTTAAAATGTTTGATAAAAAATAAATTATATTTCATACAAAAACGTATAGTGATAACTACGATTCACTACAAAATTACAAATCATAAATAATTGAAGCTATCCGAGAAAAATATACAAGATTCAAGGATAACATATTCATTGGGATTAATATACGGCAATATTAAGTAAAATATTAAAGTTATGTTTATTTAATTGTTTATACATTACAATTTTTAATTTAACCTGACCTAACCTAACCTACACGTTTTGTTGAGATTGGGCCTAAAAGTATTGTAGACATAACTTGAAATACAGGTCTGCACACGCTTTTGTGGACATTATATATTCGGATGTATAATACATATATTATATATAACGGAATAACTTTTATTCTTGTGTAAAATTTTATATACATAATACTTGTGTAATATTATAATTGAAAAATGTATCAATTTGTGTACATACTATCTGTTAGTTTTATTCTTCGGGATACGATTCGTGTAACTCAAAAAAATCCACTGAAAACAACTCAACTAACCCGAAAAAATACACCAAACACAACTCAGTGTTTGGGACACAACTCGTTTGCAACCGTGTGAGCGCGAATCGCCGCTTATTTATTTTATTATTCTTTGTGTTGGCGGCAATTGCCTCATTTTTGGCATTAGTTGCTTACTAATCGCCAATCCTGTTTGATGCACCTATTTGGTTGTTATACGTGCAGGGCTAGCGGAGCCATTTTTACTATAACGAAGTATTATATATCATGCAAGATTGAGGTAAGTAACAAATCCGCATAACATTGCTATGAATTATTTATTATATTGTGTACCGATAAAGACGTACGGTTATCGCGGTTGAGTTACTTTTATTTGCACCAGAATTGGGCCCACGCACAACGCTATACACAACACGTGTTACGTACACGTACTCGTCACAACTGTCATAGTTCGACAGTATTTGCACGACCACTACTGTTCGAACTACCAACACTACTGCACATCCAGCTATTCAGTTATAGGTTTCTATGGGTTAGTGGTGGTCGTCGGGCAATTGGTATCCGGGCGCGTGCTGTACCAAAGCTGTACGATTCCCACCCGTACAACATTTCTATCGGTATAGAAAATCCTCACTCATTGTGAACTTGAATCGTTATTTCGACATATTTTCGTGATTCGTCCAATAATATCAATTTTGTCCGCATTTTGTACATATCAAAGGGTATCAAATAAATTATTCTACGAATATTCGCATCTGGTATCAAACATGACATTCTCGTTTACCTATGCTTTTATTTTGTTATTAAAATTATAAAATTCGTGCTTTTGCAGTAGAATAAAGAAAGAGTTAGAACCGATTAAAAACGAAAAATATTGAGTTGTGTTCAAATATTGTAAACGATATATTTTTATAAATATAATTATAACACATATATGTGTTTAAATTAATTACACACTCAATAATATTGCTACACCAGCTAGGATCCATTTCGATGGATTTTCCCGCGTTTTCAAATTAAATGTCCACACGAACGTCGGACCTCTCTGTTTGATCTTGTACACAGGACAATCGTACGTGTTTCGCAGATCCTGTTTATCCTTGATAATAGCTTTCACGTGTATGACCGGCATTATCGGGAACAATTCCTTCAATTTAGAATCTACAATACAGCCCACGTTCACGTCCCAACGAGCACCCTCCAATATCAAATCGTTAATCATAGCACCTTCTTTGGGCGGAATTCTGAAAACAAAAATCACAGGCCACATAAAGTTTAAGCTTGAGATAATAATGATAATAATAGTATAACGATATTAATATGGTCGTTGGCCGCGTTATCTATACAATATTGAACGCGTGGTGGATAAAGTTGGTATATAGCAAGGTTTATAGATAATAGAGGTTGCCTCATTTACAAATTATGAAATCATACGAGTGGAAAAACCACGCCGTGCCGTCAGCCGATGTACAAAATGTTTGGTATTGATAGGACCCGGATTTAAATGCACTTAAAACCATACAAATATGCTCTAAAAAATAGCCAAAAATGTCCTTAAAAAATGCATTTTACCATAAAAATGACATAATTTTTTTTTATTTTGGGCATTATTGAACACACTATTTAATACATTAAAATCACAAACACACGTAATACGAGCAACATCTGCGAGGTAATACGAACTAGCTTATTATTTGTTGTTTGATCGAATACTGGTGACGTTTCATAGTCAATAATAAATTAAGATAAGATAAAAACTGAATCAAAATATAGATTGACAATTTATGAAATAAATGAAACAATTGACAATGTACATGGAAAAACCCGATAAACCTACTTAAATATCAAGAAAATAATTTGTCTTTTGATTTTATTTTGAATGGGCTAAATTTATTTAGTATATCGAACAAATATACACTTTGTATTGAAATCCGGGCCCTAGTTATTAACATTCAGCTGCTGTATTAACGCGTTTTCTTTCGGTCATAACATATTATTTTTTGTTTAATCTACGTTTATTACTAAAAAAATTAAAGACATGATAACAAAATCGTTAAAACTCAAATGTGGGTCATCATAAATTGCTTATCCTATGGTGGTTTAATAGTTTCCAGTGATGAATTCAAAAATAATATTTTTAGTATTCTATTTCTATTTTTTAAATATATTTAAAAAAAGATTTTTTAATAGAATAACCTAATATAAAATTTCTGAGAAAAAAAAATTTAATAGAATGGAAATGCCTGAAAAGTATGTTAAACAAAAGCTTCTCATACGAATGAAGTATTTAAACTATCACAGTGTTTTATTCAATAAAAAAAGAAAAAATAAGTCAAATGTACAACGACTTCAAAAACTTAAAAGACTTATGTCATAAATTTATTATTATTATTATTATTTAATTATTAATTATTATAATTTATTGATATTTGTACATATATTATCCTATTTTATGTATTAATTATTTAGCATAGTAAGATAATTTGTAACAATTATGTACAAGTATTTTCAATTTTTAATTCATCTGTAATATATTTAGCACCTACTCTAAATATTAACAAAAAAGTGATCACTCACACTATATATTTATATAAGAGTTTTAAAGAAGGTACTCACAGCAATATTTTATCATAATTATAAAATTCTACTACTTCTAACTTTTTAGTTCAGTTAACATAGTTGAATTTCAATTTTGAATCAACAAAAAAATTTAGTAAAGGAATAGCCATTAGATGATTATAATTGCATGTAACGACAACTAGTTACAATTTGTAAAATTTAAAAAAAAGTCGAATATATTTTTATGATTGTTGTCTATTGGTGTAATTAAAATTTGTCCAAAAAAATACCGAAAAATAATGAATAATATTACACATAGTTCTAAGTAATCAAATAAAATATTCAATAATAATACATCGATAATGATAATAATAATAAGCAGTAAATCAATAAATATAATAAAAAATTATAGCATAAAAAATTAAGATGTATATGCCCTCGACTGCATTTCTCAATGCGTCGTCTTGAATATTGTACTTTGGGTGACATCAGTAGATTAGGAATGGTGCGGGGTGATCGATTTATTTACATAACAATGAGGCAACCTCATAGGTACTTGTTATCTACTCACGTAATTTGATCTTTGAATTTTTTCGTGACGTCGAATTGCAGGCACATTTTGTCCAGGGGCCATTCCATTTTACGAGCGGTGTTTTGCATTATAGCGGTTAAAAACGATTGAGGGTTGAAAAATCCGCCCAACCACACAGACGCCGGTAACTGGAACGTAGCGCATTTTATTATGTTATCAAACCCAAAATACGACGTGTAGCTTACCTGGAACTCGCTAACCCAAGATTCTAGCTCACGTAATCGTTTCAATAAATCTGAGTACCAAGCCGCTAACGGCAACAGTGATGGGTATGCCAGCTTCTCCCATCGCGGCGGAACTCTGTCCATGAACAGACATTCTTCCAATGCCTCCATGTCGGCCGTAATCGTCAATTCACCCTACACAATATTAACGAACGTTTGTGTTGTATAGTTTTAAACAGATTTATACGAGTGCAATAGAAACAAAGTTGGGTTTTGATTTATACATGGGTCATGCAACGTATGAACGTTAATTATTACGTATAAATATCATATTCTATTATTATTTGCTTATTCTCGTCATGAGTCCGCAACAAATGTGTGTCACAATACCTTTAGTCCCAAGAACAGCTCTTTTAAAGATCGTCTGATCTCGTCCATCAACGTGTTCATACGTTCGCATTCCTGGAACGACACGATAATGTATGGTGTTTGTACATCAACTCTACCCAACATTTCTGTTATGCTAAACGGCTGTGGAACTTTATCTAGGATTTCGTCTAGAACCGATCTGACCTATGAACACGTATCACGTAAGAAATTCATAACATCAAAGTTTAATAAAATGTGTTGTATTCATAAACGTGAATTAATTTACTATTTCATCTTTGGACACTCCTGTTCCACCAGATGCACCTGCGTCCCTAGGCTGCATTTCCATCAAGGTAAAGAACAAGTTTTCGGATCTTGTGGTAAGCGTTCCGATTTCAGCATTTGGGTGAAGCCCATATAGTATAGGACTTTCAGGCGGTAATAAATCATCTATATATTTATGATACGACTTATAGTCTAAATTGGGTGGCGCAGTAAAACCTGGTGCGAATATAAGGTCCCCTTCCATCTATCAATCAAAATAGAAATTAAAGTTTAATGGACAGTTATTTTTTATCAATTTATCAAATATTTATGTATATATATATAAAGAACATTCACCAATATTGGACACAATAGATACAGTTGACCCGAAATGTTTGGATTACGTTTAAGTCGATATAAGTAGGCACTTGAAATGTTTCTAGTGGATATTTATTGAGCTAGCTATCTTTTAAATATTCTTAGTTCGATCCAAAAGATATAATATTAGAAGTATAAATATTGTTCCCAACATTGGTGAATATACGATATTTTAAATCATACCAGAAGTGGATTCATAAAGACTTCGAGGTATGTTCTACACAACCGCCTGTCCCAATCATCAGTAATATGTCCACCATACATGATCTCTCCGAAAAGATACCTGAGATCTTCCCAAGGAACTTTATTGTTTGCCTCCAGGTAGTTGTATAAAACGTTTACACATATTGTTAAATCACCCACATTAAATGGATACGATCTGTTCCACCCTTGAGCACCGAATTTTGATCTTTCTTGTATAGAAGCGTGAAAATAGCACAAACTGAATAATATCGCTTTAAATTCTGCTTCTCTTGAGCACATTTCAAGTGTGTCTTGATTGAAATTATCTAATGCTTTATGTAAATTCGCCATCATTCCTGTTGGTGCTTCGTTTGTAATTTTTATAGATGAATCCAAAATGCCCTAAGAATCATATGAGAACGTATAATACTTCAAAATGCAAAATAATATTTAACGAAGAAAATACTTGTGGTATAATATGATAGAGCGGATCAGAGGCAGGTTCAGCACTAATGAAAATTCTATAATTTTCGTGTGGACGTTGGAAAGATGCTTCCATTTTTTTATCCAACGATGGCAACCATTTCTGAACTAGATGTACGTTCTTATGAACACAATCAATAAAATAGTACAATAATGCATTTAATAATGATATATGGTATGACTTTATATATTTACTTGTAGCATAACCCAATGACCCATTTGACAACTATAGTCAATCGCTTCTTCTGCTATTGGTTCTTGTCCCTGTCCTAGGGAAATATTGTGGAAGTTCTTTTTTTCGATTGTATATCCTTTTTTCTTACCAACGGCCTCAACATCCTATTAATTAAAATTAAAAGTTGATAAAAAATAAAAATATAATAAATAAAAAATATGCTGTGCTAAAGTAACGCTTAACTAGTATAAACTTACTCGTGTCGGATCAACACCTGCTGATAGTATAAAAAATACAGCAGTTCTCGACGAAGTTTCTTTTAATGATTCAGCAAACTCTGGAGGTCTAAAATTGGTGTACCGGGCTCCAAAACATTCTTTAACGTATTCTTTAGCAGCATACGTCATTCGATCCGTTCTCAGAGCTCTTATTATACAAAGTCTTTGGAATGGACTTTTATTTTTCCACATTTGTGGCAATTTCTCATTTTCCGGTGTTTCACTATCAATATACATCTGCCATTGCTTTGGTAAAGATTCGATATCCTTATCAAGACCTCTATAATTGCATTTTTTTTTTTAAATAAATACATAATTTTATAAAAAAAAAAAAAAAATGGTAAAGATATTTTACATAAATTCATCATCAACTGTAATTAGTGACTTAACAGCTCCCCAAACGCTCGGTAAGATAAAATCCACTGGACTTCTTGATTCAGCCATCACTGGTCTTCTCAATAAATAATCTAACTCTTTTATTTTAATCTGATTTGCTTGTAATTTTATCTAAAACCATAAGGTATACATTTTTAAGCTACAAAAGTTTCTTAAATTAAAATTAATCATATATAATATGTATTTATATATATACAATATAAAATGTAGTCATATTAAATAATTTTGATACCTGAATAACCATTTGAGTGATAAATATTAGTTTATCTTTTTCAAATAAACCTCTACTCGTATAAACAAATGATTGGTATGTTATATTTTCTAATAAATTAAGTATCCGTTGTTTTAAAGTATCTGCTTTTTCTGAATTCCTCATAGCTCGTTGAAATACAATACTAAAAGCCTATAGAAACATATTTAATATCATAACTTTTGTGCAATCACATTTTTATAGTGGTTTGACAACAGAGATCTATAATTTTTTAACAACATAACTTAGTAATATATTAAAATTAACAAATTTTAATCCTAAAATGTGTTTACTGTTAAGTAATTAGTCAATATTTATCAGATAGTTTACCTCAAGAGAGAACTGATACATTGGATTTATTTTTACCAAATCATTCATTATAAAGTATATAATTGATGCTCGCGTTGCAGCAATGCGATATTCTTCTCGAGCAGAGTCAATTTTTTTCGATGTAATTTTTGCTTCAATAACTTTTGCTTCAATTTCTGTGGCGGTTTTTTTTGGATTTTTCAAGGTTCAAGACAAGTTCCTTATCACCGAGTATTTGATCACCATCAGCAGAAGCCAGTCTTTGTAACAAACCATCTTCGAGTTCTTTTAATGTTATTTTAAAACTATTTTGTTGTTTGGTTAAATCTATTCTCATTTTTTCCAAATCAGGTCTTTCGACTTTTACTACTTCAGCCAACAATTGATCTTCGAGTTGTTCACGATTTACAGTGAAATTTATTAAAGTTGTCTGTGCTTGCGTTTCTGGCTTGTAATGTGGGTTTGATAATTTAGTGTGAATTATAAGAGAGAAATTCGGATTGTAATCAATCTCTTTTTCACCAATTTTCACAGCCCTAAAAATAATACATTACTAAATCATTATTAGAGCCCGGTTAGTTGACATATTTTTGCGAATTTTTTTTTTTTTCTTGTATTGTTTTCCTATAAATGCATATTTAAAAGAATTATAAATCATTTTAAATAATTGCAATTTACAATATATGGAATTTTCTTAAAATTCAATTTATTTTATGTTGACAGTAGATATACGGAAACATCTAACGATTTAACGTGTGTCTTAAATGAAAAAATGTTAAATTGTATACTCAATAATTATTGTACGCTCATTTAGCTATTTCACTATATATCGATTTTATATCGATTATAAAACTACATATAATATGATGTATCTTTTAGTAGCAACTACTTTATTTATTTATTTTTCTAGGAATTAAAAACTAAACTGCATTATTTTGCTTGTTTTCTAATTTTTAGTTCATTTTATACCACAAATTTTTTTGGTTTTTTACGGCAAACTTAATGCATAAGTTTAACTTATTAACTAATTTAACTAATTTAACTAATTAAGTGTATACAATATCAAACTATAGTTATCATATTATAATAAGACTAGAAAAGGTATATATTATACCTTCCTTTTTTTTATCAAATTACGACCAATAATGTTGTCCAAAACGGGATCAATACTGTCATCGATATTCTCAATTAAAAGTACGTGTCCGTCCCTTACACACATTTCAATATCATTTAGATATTTTTTTGTAATTTAGTCTGGTTACTTTTAAATGTTTTCCATATTTAGTTTTAATCCATTTAATTCCTTGGAGCTAATTAATCAATAAGAAGGTTTTTGTTTTAACCGTCCATGTATACATTTAGTCAAAAGATAAAACTGCCATGTACCTGAGGATCTACCATTAATGGCCATCGAGCAGAATTACTTAAAATAGATGCATTTTCCGATGACATTCGATCATTTGGTAGACCTTCGTTATTCCAGGTTGCGATTTGTGTATCATCAGTTAGTAAGGTGAGTGGATCTAGATCATCTGTTTTGGGTATTTCAGGCTAAAAATCGATATTTCAAATACAATTATAATACGAATACTTCTACAGGTGTCAACATTTGTCATTCGTGTAAATGTACCTTCAATTCATTGAAAAATGGTAGCCATATATCTTGAATTAGTTCTTGTCTGTATACTTTTGTAAAGTAACCAACATAGGACACAAAAGCTGAGACTATGAGAATATCTCCTGGCAAAGTTTGTAAACTCTTTTGCATCCTGAAATATACGATGAACATTTCATATTGGAACAAATGCGCTTGAATCTAATAATCATTTACGTAGAAACGCTTTCTCTCCACCGCACATTTTCTGACGCTAAGCCATTAACTAGCCTGTTCGCCAAATCTATCCTCATAGCGGTTTCGTCTGCTTGCATTTGACATCTTTCTTTTTCAGCCATTGCGCTGTTAAACTCATTGGTTAAAATTTTTTGTTTTCTTTCTAATTCCTAAAACGATAATATTATTTTAAATACATTTCAATTAGTCGATAAAATAATTAATACATTTATCATATTTCTGAGCTCCATAAGCTTTGATCTGGCAGCACTCAGTTCTTCATTCGCATGATCTCTGGCTTTCCTTTTCGGTTCCACAACTTGCCAAACATTATTAAACTTCATTATGTTTATAACCCATGCGCACAAACCTTAAGTATAAAATATCATGATTAATCTAAATATACTGAAACAATAAAATAACGGCCAGAATCTTATTTTAAGATTTCTTAATTTTTCATCTTCGAATTATTAAATTTATTGATTTATAAATAACACATTTAAGAAATCAAATAACAAAATTTTTATATTATGATTTCACCAAAACCAGAAGAATATTGACTATTTATGATTATGGTACGTTATTTAGGTAATTAATAAAACGTATTATTTATCTATGCATGTTATAATACCAATTTCAAAAATAATTTATAGTTTAAGAGTTTGAAAAATAATAAATATTAGTATATTTTAATTTTCACTCACTTCCAGCGGCTGAAGACTTTGCTTGGATGAATTCTGGATTAAATTCAGGATCTTTCAAATAAGGTTGAATCGCTTTGACTATATCAGGGTGTATGTGTTCTTTATCATAGTTTTTAAGTGAATCTAAAAATCCATCAACTTTTGCCATCATTACCTATAAACATCACAATAATTAACTAAAAGTTTGTTTAAATAACATTTTGTAACAATATAAATTTCTACCGAATAAATAATAAGAATTATAATAATAAATAATAAAATATAAAATCACAGGCTCAACGGTTCAAGGGTAGTACATATTAATAATAAAAGTATCTTTGTATTAAATGTAATTTACGAAAATATATACATCGAAAAACGATTAATTCAAGTTTTGATAATGTCATTATATTTTTTTTTTTTTTTATAGAATCAAAGTGAATTTAATTCATTTGTTTTCATTTCAATTGTTCAGTTCATAATAAAAATTATATTTATACAATTGATTAAAATTGTTCGTAGTTTTACCAACACGATGAGGTTTGAAATTTAAAATTCAATTATAATATGATCAGGGATTATTCTAAGGATTTTTATCAACTATGCATTTTGTTTAAATAAGCCTATAAAAATAAAACTATGATCTCAAAATATACTGACATATTATAGTTAAAAATGATAAAATGTGTAGCTTCTATGTGAAGTAATTTAAAATGTAATGTATTTAAAAGATATAAAACAATTTACATTCGTGTTCAAAGTATTTTTTTTAATATTTTTTAAAAAATTTCCTTTTTACTTTGTTTATAAATCATAATGTAATGTATAAAATAACACAAAACAACATTGAATTAAAAATCAATTAGATACGCAAAAGATTATTATCAAGTGAGCATTATTATCAAGTGTTATCATTATTATCTACCTTTTCCAAATACGCAAAATAAGCCAAACTACGCTTTAGAATAAGCCCTGAATATGATATGCTCAAAATATTCTATTCTTCTAATGAAGTAACTTTACTGGGTACCCTTTTATTCAAGCCGTCAAGCCTTGTTAACATTTTTTGTATAAATAACATAATGTATTTTTTTTATATACATTACATATATTCGTTTTTTTTTTTTTTTTTAAAAAAAAGTATTAATAATTAAGAGCGTTCATTGATATTAAAATGTAAAATTCAAAATACCTTGCAAGCTTTCCAACTTCTATCTTTTGGAACTTTTCCTTTTTTAGCTTGCAAAACCAAAACAGCAGCTGCAACATTTGCTACAGCCGCTGGAGGTGATCCAAATGATTTAAGTTCTGTTAAATTGTTCTAAAACATTTTATTAAATAAAACACATCAACGTTGTATTATTACACACCATTTTTACTATTTATATTTTTATACTACAAATCTTATGTGTACAATATGTTTATATAATTAATAGTTATTATTAATAACTTATTTATTAACTATAGTATAGAAAATAGAAAATTATAAAATAAATTTATAAATTATATAAACTACAAAACTAAATTCATCGAGCTTACTTCGGTCGAGAAGTAATATACTTGTTATTATAAGTCATTACATTTAGTCCACTCAAAATGCTTAAATTAATCTCTTATATAAACAGTTTACAGCTTCATATCGGTAATATAGATATATTCGATGTGTCTTAAAAGATATTTTCCAAGTAGTGTTGTTTTAATTAAAATTAAATTACTTTGTCTAATATATCTAAAGCAGCTTGTGCTGCTAACAAAGCTGGTTCCGCTTTTTCCAGATCTTCTGCACACATTTTTTGTTTTAAACTAACATCTACTTCAATCAACTTTACTTTATTTTCGTCTATGGCAGCTGTTGATAAAAAATGAATCATAATGATATACATTTAATATAATGACATAACTGTAATTATATATTGTTTAGTAATATCGTAAATACCTTTTTCTTTTTCAAACGTTACTTTTTCCGATTCTTTTTTCACGATTTTGATCAATTCTTCAGCTTTAGCATTTTTTTTGCTCAATTCGATTTCTTGAATGTCTAATTCAGCTTTTAATCCATCAACCTGTATAAAAAAAAAACACTACTTATTCGAGTATAAAAAAATGTCATTACTTTCAACGCAACAATATTTATATGAAATAATTTTTTATGTGTTTTTTTCCGCTTACTTGAGCTGCGCAAGATATCAATTGCTTAATACCGTTTTGAAATCGTAATATACCGTGCTTTGTTTCATTGGTCTTTGACACTAGTAGTTTTACATAGAGAAAAATTTGTTCCAAAAACGATTTTGGTGTGGTGTAATTATAACGACGGTCATTTTCCAAATACCGGATGGACATCTTATTGACTGAACTGTGCACATGGGACATAAACAAGGATACTGGTTTCTTAAGTTTATTTGGGAGTTCCTTTAGATCTTTTAGAAACTGGTACGACACGGATTCCAATGCTTCCTTGGGCCATTCGTAAAACCAATTAATAGAGGTGCAAGTGATCAAAGCCGGAAAACGTCTGGCTCGGATCCTCAAGGTGCTGCCGACAGGCGAGAAGCACAATACGACCTTGATTAACGATCTGACTTTGTTGATGAAGAACATCCAACAGTTTTCTCTAGTCTCCGATAAACCGGCCCCTTTCACCTGTAACGGTGGATTACATTAGGTCGGGATTTGTCGCGCGTGATACATTGAAAAATGTAAGTCGATACCACCCCCGCGCGTATAAATGTCAACGTGCACATGTACCTCTGGCCCGATGGCTTGTATGATGTTATCGACCTCGTCATCGGCGAACAGATCCGGTATCTGGCCGCTGGCGAGCATGTCGTTGATGAGTACGAGAAACTTCTCGTCGGCAACTTGCGAGTCAGTCATTAGGAACATGATACCCGCGTTCTTCAGCCCGGCTTTCAGGTATAGCCCGGCCAGGTCGACTTTCAGGTCGGCAATACTATACGAAGACTTCAGCTGCAACTGGAACGTTTCTATGGCGGATATGAACGCAGCGAGACGCGCTAACGACTGTTTCCCGCTACCACCAACTCCGACGAGCAATGCATTGCCTCTGGGAAGTTCAAGTATCCGGTTGATTCGGCAAACGTGCGCCATAGCGTCCTTGAATAGCACTAAACTCATCGCGCCCATCAACTCCTCATATGAATCCATCGCGTCGTTCAGCAGTTTTTTCCAACGATGCCCATGTTTTGACAAACATATACTTTTGATCGCCAATGCCGTCCGCGAAATGCGATAATATCAACGGTGTTTCCATGTATTCGTTTTCCGGAACATCCTGCGTTTTAAAAACAATTAATAACGATCGGGTAAATACCGTTTTAAACGTCATACGAAAAAAATTGATTGTTTTCTCTCAAAAATAGACGATAACATAATCGATCATGAAACTCATACTATTATAGAATAATCTTAAAATGATTTACAGAATAACGGTAATCTTAATATTTAGTATGTATTCAAAAAATTTCCGAAACAACGAGTGGAACATAAAGACATAAACAAATCGATAATCATGTTTCCTTTATTTTTCATTTTTTAGATAATTTGTCAAATATTTTATCATATAAATTAATAAAAATAAAAAATGTTTTATTTTATTTTATATTTACATAAGTAGTTCACTAAAAAGATTTACAAAAATGATCTCAACTAACGAGTTGAGCCTTAACATGCCATTATGTATTTAAAATATTATAGTTGAAAAGGTTCATGTACTATGTTATAGTAAAAATTCAAAATACTCACGCCAAAAGATTTCTTTATCTGCTCGTAAATGTATTTCGAGAAAGTCTCTTGATCTTTGGTTTCAATTAATTTATCACTATAAATCCGACTGGTTTCATGGAGCCAAAGGCGAACAAAAGCACTAGTAGATGTCACACATTCGCCATTGGCAAACATCATTCCCTTATGGTTAACAATATTAGTAATTACTTTAAATTCAAAAACATGATACGTGATTTTTTTTTTTTGCTATAGAAAAAGATATGATTTTACCTGGAACACGTTGCTCATATCTCTAAGGTTGAACGAGTAATGAAATTTAATAGCGGTCGGCAAAAATACCGTCAAAATCTTTTGATGGAAATTAATTGCCAATTGCACAATTGAATCTCCCAAATTCATTACGTTGCTGTTGAATTTATTTGCCGGATTTTTCAAGTGTTGGGTGAAAATCGAAGAGTAAATGGTGAACAGTGCGTCTTGAGATGGGAATCTTCAATAGTAAAATTGAATATAGAAAGTCAAAGGGAAGAAGAAAAATTAAATTAAAACAAAATATCTGATTGGATAACTTTACGAGAACAGTGATGAAAACTCACCCCAAAGCGAACACGTAAAAGTGTCTCTGCAACCGAGAGTCTATTGTGAAACTTCCAGCAGTCGGATTCATACTCGAAGCAAACATCACGTTGTGTATATCTTTTAGGGACAGCTTTGCACGGTCGTACCAATGTTGGTAATCCATATATTGTCTAATAAGAGTGTGAGGCTGGACGGTACCATATGTATCAACCTATATACGTGGAACAAAAAAAAACATGATTCACACGATTTTAAAAAATCATCCTCACAAAATTATCTCACAGTTTGATAACAATCAAAAAATTTAACTATACTATAACTGTTTTCGTAGTTTACAATATTTTATAACATTTATCTTATAAGCTTACATTTCAATCAATAAAATATTCTTATTTTTCATTATGACATTTGAAATACCGTAATGATTGATCTTAAATATAATTTCAACTTACCTCGGGCATATTTATATCGTCGATAAAGTATATGAGTGTTTTGTTACCAGGTGGGCTGTAGATTCTTCCTGCTTTCTTTTCTAGTGGTTTTTCTAAAATCCTTTGCAACATTTCTAGTGAAAAAATAAATACATTTATACGTTATTCCATAACTTGAGTTTAGGAACATGAGCTTAGTTATAATGTCATAATTGTATGGGTTTTTTTATACATTGTCTTAACTTATATTTAAATACTAAGTGATAACCTATAACCAAATATCTCTGCACAGATCGGTCTGCAGAGTATATTTGTATTACTATTTAAATAAACACTGCAGACGTGTTAAATATAAAAATAAATTAATTATTATTATATAATAAAATAAATTAAAATTGAATGTTTACAACACAAGTAGATTTGGACAGTTGCAGATACCTGATGTTGTGTAGAAATTAAGTGATACGCTTGTAACTGCATATAAATCTTTAGAAAGAGATTTGAGTTTTTCGTTTACTATGACAGATTTTCCAGTACCAGCGCCTCCAACAAACATTATTGCCGATTTTTTACCTACCAACAAGTCTAGGAAATATCTGAGACGAGTTGTTTCTGCTGTATTCACGAGGGTTTGCTATTAAAACAACAACACAATTATAATTAATTAGAATCTTAAAAATACCAAAGTAAATTATTAAATTATACTTAAATTATACAATTTTATTGAGTGGAATTCATTTTTTTATTCATAAATTTGAACATCATGTATTTAAATTATCATTTATAGTTGATACATTTTTTTTATTCAAAAAAACAAATAAAAAAAATAATGCGTTGGGTGATTTCTCAGACAATTTTGCGTTTATATTTTCCATCGAAATTAAGACATTTTTATCATCAGCTAAATACCAATCTCAGATACTCTAATATCAGGTGCCACGAGTTTTTAAACAACAAATATTAACTGTAATTGTTTTTTTTTTTTTTTTTTTACTCGCATCTGACTCACACTGTGTAGTAATTAATATTATATACTTGATCGTCAACGAAATGAAAAAAATCTTTAAATCTCTTGACGTACGACTAACCTGTAGAGGTATATCCGTATTAAGCTCAAACGGCAATACCAGTTCTGACCACGGTTGGAACTTATTCGATTCCGAGTCGATGAAATAGTTGAACACACCACCGGACGAGGGTATTTTCACAGTTTTGAACTCGGTCAACCACCATTTGGAAAATTCAACTCGCCAATCGATCAACTACAAACGAATAAACAATATGTTATGTATAAGTGTTACGTAAACCAATTTCGAATCACGATAAAAAACTGACGAGGTGTTCTGCAATTCCGTTACATCTTATGACCGTACAGAATCGTAAATCGATTTTACGTGACAACATTCATTCCGTCGCGTTTTACACGCGTCATATACGGATCGTAATCAGGTATTACCTAACCATACCTAACCATCAGGTAACGGCAAAGACGGACGTGTTATTTAACCGTTGCTTTGCAAAATCGAAACGAAAATAAAACGGAAATAGAAATGACAAAAAACGATGATATTCGTGCGGACATTATAATATACCGAATCAATATAAACGAATAATATCTACGTTTTACATAAGCCCGACGGCTCTAATGCTCAACATTAGCGTTATCGCTGTTGATCAGAGTCCATGTCGAAGCATTTCCGCACGTTCACCTCCTACCCCCAAACCAATCCCATGGAACAACGATGTCGTACCTGATCTTGGAACGTCGCCGAACCGAAGGCCCAAATGCAGGCGAACACGAAATACATTTCGTACACCTCTCTGGTGGTGTCCGGCGGACAGTTGGCCGGCGTTAGCAGGCACTCGAGCAACGTGCACAGCATCTGCACGTGCGTGATCTCTGGTATGGGCGTGATGATTTTGAACTTGGACTTGAGCGCCTCAATGCACACGGGCACGTACTTATCGAACAGCACCACCAGCACGGCCTTCTCCGTGTCGCTGTCCCGCGTGTCGATCCAACTGGACACGTACGGGTTCCAGCCGAGGTCCGTGGGGTTGATGTACAGGATGCCGGCACGCGAAACGGTCGCGGGCGTGGCCGACCGCAAGTTGGATATCTCGAACAGCAGTCGCATGGACGGCGTCAACGCGATACGTTCGTTGCTCGCCAACGTCAGCACCTAAGCGGGCGAACACGAACCGCGGATGAGGTCGAACTAGGAATTTTTACGCCCGGGGAAAATGTTAAAATTACGCCCCATCATGGACCGATAATCAAATACTATTCTCGAGAATTTTTTTCTAATAATTAATATACGATCATATACGAGTACTTATTGAGTTATATCCTAATAACAATATTTAACATAGTTAAAAATATCAAATTAGTAATCTCTTTGTCATGGCGCTTAACTTGTTAATAATTACAAAAATTACACCCACTAACATTTTTCACCCAGGGATGAATCCCCGTCTTCTACCCTCTAGTTCCGCCCCTGCCAGCACCGCGTGAACCGCTGGAAGTGTTTGAATGTACCACCCGAGTCAATGTTTCTGATTCCGAGCGAAAAATATTAAAAAAAAAAAAAACGAACAATACGTTATGACTAGGGCTAGGATTTGTATGCAACAGCATGTTTTCTTTTGCGACTTATGATGTATTGTTTATTTATACGAATAATTATATATTGGTTTTGTCAGTTATGCCCACGAATCACCTCATGATGAGATAAATGGTGGTGTTTTTATTTTTCATGTTTTTGCGTATTTTGGGTAAAATGCACATTATTGCATATATTGAATAAAATAAATATTTTTGCATATTTCGATTATAAAAATGCGAAAAATAAATGTTTTATTTTATATTTCGTAATTAATATTTATAATTTAATATAAATATTTTGTATTTAACTCTAGGTTAACTCTAGACCTGCTGATTAAAGTATAAAACTTGTTTTTTTTTTATCAAAAATAAATTTTATTTTAAATTATTTTATTTCTCAATTATATTATATTATATTATGATAAACAGCCAACCACTGATGTATTTGAATAAATACATTTTTTTTTTTTTGTAATAATATTTTTGTGTTTATCTTATAAAAATTTAAATGTATATTTTTGCATATTTTACAGTTTTTTATTGCATATAAATCCTAGCCCTGGTTATGACGATAACATTTTGGCGTCCGTCGCCCAAATCATGTGTCGTTACACTTCTCCATTGCGCAACACTCCGTCGTTGCTCCTATAAGACTCTCCGATAAGACCCGCGTCATTCCGGACAGAGGTCGGCTGTGGGATACCATACGAGCAAAGCGCGGTAGATACAAGAGACAGAGACTTTGTGCCCGAAACCAGTTTACTTCTACGCTTAGAGCACCGACTATGCGCAGTGCAATCGAAAGCTCCACGCATGTGTGTGCAGGGGAGGAGGAATTCGGAAATTCGGAAGTTCAAAAATTCAACGACGTACCTTGTTATCGTCCATCACCGTGTTCAGCGACTCGATCCACATGGGATCTATATCGCCGTCCATCACCATCCATTTGGAACCGTTGCCGGGCATTTGAGCTTGATCTCGTATCAGACACGAAAACAATCCTATCGGACGCGGGAGGAAGAGAAAATAAATTAAATTTTTATGAACCCGTCAAGCGATGTGGTCGCCGTGAGTGCAACACGTACCGTCCACCCATTCCTTGGTGACTGGGCTGATGATGCCGAACAGCTCGTCGTTGGTGACCGCTTTTGGCTCGATGTCGTTGTAATAAGGTTTATATTTCAGGTTCGTGTACGTCCGATACAACGTTTTCCACACCTCTGACTTGCCCGTACCGGCCAAGCCGATTATGAACACCGAATGTCGGACGTCTAACAACTCCACCAGCTGCACTACCTACGACAAACAAAAAAAAAAACCCAACGGTTCAATGTCGCCAATGAACGTCGTACCAGACAACGCGATATTTGATGCATACTTTAAGGATAAAGTTGTTCTCTGGTTGGAGCTTTAAGTCGATCGCAGCCTTACGAATTTGGTTTTCAAATTCTAAATCACGTTTTCGAGGAACGTCGAGTGCCGGAAACAAATCACCGATAAGTCCCATGAATATTGTGATGTCTTCAGTGACTATTTTCGGAGTGTTAAAATCTCTAAGGGCTCGCATTAGAACTTGATCTTCCGGACGATTTCTGTCTTCTCTCTAAAATCAGAATATTTCATATTATGACATTTTTAAACCGTTTATTTATCTATGAATATTATTGTTTACAAATTATAATATATGTTTTACCTTTAACGATCCGGCAACCACCAATAGTGATTTAATAGCCCGAAGACCCCAATCGTAATGATCTTGTTTTGACAACAATTCTTTGCAAAGCGAGTATAATGTTAAGAACTTTCTAGCAAGTAACCTTGCGTTTTGGAATCCTTCAGCGATCAAGTTAATTTCACAAATTAATTCGAAATCTGGTACCACCATGGCACATGGCCTGTAAACAAATTATAAACATTTACTTATTAATAAACAAAGATTTACAAATTTGGTTTTGTATATTAAAGGGCATGAGACAAAGTCATATTGCACTGTTACCATTAAAATTTTAGTAGGAGAGAAAAATATAAAAACTAAAGAAAAATAAAAGTATTTCTGATGCTTTAAACTAAATGTATTTCATCAAATTAATAACTAATATTCAAAAAAAAACCAGGTATAATTTTAACTAGTAATTTTTCTAATATATTCATATATTGTAATAAGTAAAGAAAGAAATATTAGCATGGGCTATAAAAAAATCAACCAAAATATTTTTAATTTAAAATATATTTAGTCACATTAAGTATACAATTATACTACATTATAAATTAATATTTTACTTTTTTTAATTCAATGTATAATTAATTTGTATCTGATTACACTCAGGAATATGGACAAACTTATCATTTAGACATAATAAGGGTATTTTTCACATTCCATTATCCATGAATAATTATGAATAATAGATTATATACTAACTCACCTAAACAAGGCTTTGAGATTCTCAGGAAGTTCAGCTCGTCCCGCGTACCCGGGATTCATCGTAATGAACATGCCAACAGTTGGTATCAGATTAACGTTTTCGCCCAAAAGAAAACACGTATTCTTTTTTGCTTTGATGGAGTCCAACACAGCTTTCACTTGAGTTGCTACTACGGACAACACTTCAACTGATATCCTGTTGAACTCGTCAAAACATCCCCAAGCGCCGGTTTGGGCTAGACCTTTATATATGTTACCGCACGACTAAAAACATGGTCTTTTTTATGTTAGTATCGTACCGAAAAGTATAAATCTAAAATGTAGTTGAATGAACCTCTACTCGAAACTCACCCTGTAATTCATTTGTTCGGAACAATTGAACACGTAAACCATCATCCCTATAGCTTTTCCCAAATCCTTCGTAGTCTCCGTTTTTCCGGTACCAGCCGGTCCGGCAGGTGCACCGCCCATTACCAAATGTAATGACTGCATTTACACGGATTCGAGCGTTTAAAAATTCAACACGCACGACCGTTTGTTAATAAATTATCAAAAATGAACACGCACACGTTTGAAAACAAATGCAACGAAACTCACCTGTGTCAAAGTTATGTAACATCTGTCGGTCAGCGGAGTCACGACCAGCCTGGGAGTGTTTCCCAGGTACTCGTAAGAATACCGAAACTGTGCGTCGCAAATGTTGGCGAAACAATCGACCTCTCTCATATCCCATCTTGCGGAGAAAAAGACCAATGCCGTTACCGAATAGTTTAAAACGAAACCATAGTTTATCGTAGTTATTATCACCTGTGTCTCAATTGCGATTGCCACTGGAACGAAGCTGCGGTCTCGATTTTCTGTTGAATCAATTTAGCCACCACGTCCCGACAATGCACGTCGATCGTACAGATCGTGTTCACTTTCTGACGCTCTCCCTTGGTCAAGTCGCCCAACAGCAGTTCGATCAGTTCGTTCAACTGGAAAATCTGAAACGATGCGTTAACGTTAACCGTGCGGATATGTAATGCGTCAATAACGATCGTCATCGTGTCGATCGTACCTGTTTCTTGTTGTACTCTTTCATCGCGTTTTCTTGACCCGTTTCCAGGAGCACGAACGCTTCGTTGGTCTCGGTCGTCCACCATATTTGATTGCCGCATAGAGCTGCCTGGGCCGGGTAATCGAATATCCACAGCTTTCTCGGCTTCTCTTCGTACGACCTTACCGCTTTGTCGAAATACTTGCGGCCTGAACTGCGCATCGCTTCTGTCAATCTGTTCAACCATTTTTCGACCTGAAATTAATGGTAGCCTGATTATCCGACTCCTCTGATTTGGATACGACTGTTTACTTGTCCGGAACATTCGCAATTCCCATAAAATGCCACATATTCACCGTCCTTGGCGTGCATACCGACTGCTACTTTATCCTTCGCGAACTTCAACTGAGCCATCGAGTCGTAAAGCTTGATCAAATGCCTGCGAATACGATTTACAATGAATAACAACGTGTCATAAGGCGTCAAGACCCGTTTGATCGAACGCGTACTTGCAAACGGCTTCTGGATTGTTGCCGTTTGATAGAATATCTAATAGATCAACCGGTGAGATGAAATAAAATCTCGGATACGTCAGTCGTTTTGTTTCCAAGTACTGTGCCAAAACTTTTTCACATTTTGAAAGTTCATCTTGTATTTTGACTAACGTTGTATACAAGTCAGGTCTATTAGTGCTTTTTATGACGTTTGGATTCGATTTTATATAGATCAATAATGCCTGTGTACATAATCATAAAAATAATTTAACATCGTAAAACAGTAAATACATACATATATATATATATATATATACATATATATATTCTGTTCGAGAAATGGAAAATCATATAGATGAATAAATACGTATGAATAAATATGGTAGATAAAAAAATATAATATACACATGGTTAAAATTAAAAATTAAAATTATTAAGTATTGCTAAAGGACTGTAACTGGGCGATACCCGTTTCCACCAAATGAGATATTGACCTTGTTTTTACCAAAACAATTGTATACTACGCTTAAATTAAAAGCTATAACACAGAAATAACTTTATTTAACATATACTATTAATTCAATAAATGTAAAGGCATTATATAATATATACAATATAGGTTGGAAAATATTAAATTTTATTTAAAAAAAATTATCAGATATAAAAAGATGAAAAAATAATATATTATGATATACGATACCTTAGTTATGTAAATTGTAACTATATATATATATATATATATAATTAATTGATATTTGTTAACTGATCCAATAAAAAATTTAAAGTTTTTTAGTACTAGTGTTTTATTTTCACGTTTACTTTAGATAACTTTAGCCATCGTAGAATTATAAATTTTAAAATTTACGTTTTATTTTAATACATACGCATTTGTAATGCACTATTTAAACTGTTCCATATTTTCACTTGTTCATAAAGTATTTGATTATTTAGATATTATAATGGTTAATGGTCACAAAAGTACATGCATAAGTACGATAACGGTTTAACATACAATTAAATATAATAAATGTAGAATATACATTGATTATATTGTGTGTATATTTATATATATTGTACATCAATCCGAAAAACTCATGAAAAGTATAGGTATTTTATATTATTTGGTAGAAACGGATATTGGTGGAAAAAGGAAAGGTCTATTTTTGGTGGAAACGTGTTACGCCCCTGGAACTATATGTTAATACTAATTAACGAAATATACAATAACTATACCAGATAATAAAATATTATATGATGACCTTGTGGTACATACTCAATATTATTTTAAATCAATGATTGATTAGTAAAAGAAACAATACCTCAGTCAATAAAACCCATTTTCATTATCTTAATGGTTATGTTCTATAGACAGTGTAATACATAAATAGTTTTTAAATAATTATTATAATTACTTTTATTATTTTAAATACAATATTTGAATACAGTATTGTATTAAAATTAAAATAAACAATTGTTGCAAAACTGGTATTTTATTTTATTTAATCAATTGACAAACAAAAATTTTTCTTCGGATCACTTTGGTATGGTATACTTATATGAATGAACTGTTTAGAGTAACCTATTTAACCATTGACTTACATTCATGAATGAAAGTGACTTTTTAATAAATTAAAATCAACATTAATTAATGCAGTGGTCGGTAATGTCGAACGTACGGAGTATAGTGGCGGCGGTTAGTCAGTTGAAGGATCAACAACCACTAGATGGCAGAGTCGTTTTAAATACTACTTATTACGGCACCATAATATGGTTATTATTTTGCTGTTTTCTAGCAAAAACCTGTTATCCAAAATATACGCAGCGATTCGTATTTTGATTTTTGATGGTTGTTTTAATTATTTTTTATCACATTCACATAAAATTAAAAGTTATTACACAATTTCGTAAAAAAAAAAAAAATTACTATGCGTATTGAAACCTAATTAATTTGATATTTAACTTTATACAATGTAGGTCATAAGTACAATGAGATATATTGTGGTACACAATGTGATTGATGCTATAAAGATAAAATCAGAGAGTTTATAACACAACACAGGCGCATAGGTAGGTATTTCAAAAGTGGGGTGTTCAAAATTATATTTTATTGTTCAAGCATAAAAACACATTAGTACATTACTATTTTACAAGAAAGTATTTAATTATTTTATTAATATTTCAAATGTACATTTTCGTCATATATACCTTTTTAAATCGCGCATGATACGACATAAAAACACTGCTTTGGTTTATTAGACAAAACGGTGTAATGAAAAGCCGGATCTTGGCTTTACATTATTGTTATGTATAAATGTCGTTATGATAAATATGTTTTCATGACGGTTTATAATAAATTTTTATCTTTATAAGACTTCAGTATAACACAATTAAAGGGGGAGGGTGTATTACTACACCTGTAACACCCCCTACCCCTAACTAAGCGCCTGACACGACATGATATGTAGTATTCAAAAACTATCTGTCACTATCTCGTAAAAATATTACAACATGGCAGCAATGGGAATTTATAATATAAATTACATATTATTTTTAATATAATACAACATGTTCATTTTCTTAATAAAAATGTGTATACTTTTAATGGAAGATAGTACATAATAAAAATCACATTTTATAAATCACGTAAGCGAACTTTTTAATCAATTTCAAATTATGAGCAGAGTGTTACATATATTTTATTAATATTTAATAAAAATATTTACCTTAAATTCCTTGTCGAGCATTTCGAATCTTCTAGTGTCCTCCGGTAATTGTATTCGAATATCATCAGACCCAATAAATATAGCTTCCAAATAAGCCCAGATCCTTTGTACTTCTAGCCATATATTTATAACTCGGTCGGCGTTGTTTAATTTCGTTTGCCAATCCATTACTTCGGCATAAAAATGGCCAATAAACTTGGAGCTCAACATATTTTGTAATTGAACCTGATTGTCCTCTAAGACTTCTATTAACTCTTCTCTGACTTTAAGTAAACTAAAATTCGTTCTGGGATGATTCACATATTCGAATTCCATTGTATTCCAAGTCTCAGAAAATTCTTTCAAGGATTTTTTCAATATTAGTTTCTTTTACAGACTTGTCGACAATATTTTTTACATCTTCTTCGAATTTTTTCCAAATGTAGTATCACCAAATCGTTCAGTATTGTTGAATTGTCAATAGAAAATTTAACCTAGGACAATTTAAGAGTATAAATTACCCACTGTATAAATCCTTTAATACATATAAAAGTTAATAATATTAAGTTAGTTATGTACGTTTGTGATTCCCATAAGTTCCACAAAATGGCGCTCTTTCGTCGCCGGATTTCGGAGTTCAGCTAATGTTCGTATAGAAGTCATCATGTTTTTAATCAAGCTTTCAACATATGTATACACTGACCAATCACGAACTTCTTTATCCATAACTAAATGTTTTGAACATACTTTTTAATATAATTTCAAAAAAAATTTAATATTATTAAGTATGTACCTCTTAATTCTTTTGAAAACCGTTTTAGCTCCAAGTCCATAAGCTCGAAGTCTACGTTTTTCCATAATGTCGATAACCACAAAGACATCCAACTTTTAACCGTCAACACAAAGTCCCACAGGACTTTATTTAAAAACAGAGATTTCTTTGTTGGATCTAATATATTTGGCTCTGGTTGTGGTATTTCGAATAATAAAGCTTGAGTGAGTAGTTTATCATGTAATTCATCTATTTCCATTAAATCATTATTTGCTCTATCAATTTCTTGGTAAGGATGATTACAGCTTCCACTAAAAGGAATGAAAATTATACATATATAGTTCTGGTGTACCAATGCAAGTTTTTTTTTAATTTAATTTCATACATACATACATACATACATATGAATACTGGATAATTGAGAGAACTCGTGGGGGGGGGGCCATAAAAAGTTAAAAAATAGTTTATCGGTACTTACTTGAACTGGAGCTGTTTGGTAAAACTAGTACTGTACAACATTTCATGTACACCTAGTAAAATTATTCTTCCGCTTATTACTGATCCTTCTGCTTGAATAAGTGGTATAACTTCTGATTTCACGTTCAATGCGTTTTTCTTGGTGGTGTTCCACTTTTCCGGCAATTCCTTAATCCGAATGAAATTTTAAATTTTTAACAAAATCAAATACATTATTAAATTATTTTATTTTTAAAACAGTAACAGTTACAGTTATTGTTATAGTATAAATCAAATAATATTTATACTTTCATTAAAGTGTGCACATCATCCGGTATATCAACATCGTACACTTTTAGTAAATGTAATATTTCTAATAAAGGATCGAATAAATTATCGTATTCAGGTTGCCGTTGACGAACGTTTAACAAATGCCGCATGACACTCACAAGGCCTTCGTAGTCTCCTTCTTCCAATGTCTTTAATAAACCTATATTGGTTTCTTCGGTAAAATCTTGCAAGGAACGTAGACTAAACAATATTACTCGGTATAAATAAAAACAGTTGATGATAAGTCACAGTAAATATATGTTACCTGTTCACTACCTTGTCTACTAAATATGTTTTGAACAAATCCGACCAACTAGTGATTAAACTCATTAGATCTTTTTTAAAAGGTTTAATATCGATTGTTAGCCAATTATCGAATGTAATATTTTCAGTTATTTGTACAATTATTTTTAGAAGATTTTCGAACGAGTCAATCTTAAATTAAATAATTATTATCTAAATAATATGCTTGCATTCATTAAAAAATATAATCTATGACTACACGTACTTTCGTTTGAAAATCGCTTAATTTTGGTGCATTAAGTGGTAATAATGGTTCTCCTTCTGCGTCTACTTCAAATTGAAGAGTTTCCTGTTCTTCTGGAGTTAATTCTCTTGCATATTTTAAAAAATTTGATAGTAAATTGCTTTGGTCGTTTGACCATACTGCAGAATAGACTTGATATTGAAAAAACGTAACCAAGAGCCTGAAATATTACCAAAATAATTAAACTCACAAATTAATTTATTTGAATAAGTTAAGTATGATTTTAAATCTTACTTTTTTTTATCGTTATCTCCGCTTGAATGAGTATATTATTTACAGATTCAATTACCTCTTCAACTTTTTTAATATCTTCCTAAAATAATAATAATAATTAATTAAAAAACAAATATATCAAAAAAAAAAAAAAACATAAAGAGTGACGCTTGATTTATTTATTACATTATATGGTGGGTAATTAGTATCGATTCTGTCCAAATGCGATCCCATTTCAATAATATCTTCTAGTAAATTAGAAATTAATCCGAAAAAGTTTGGTTCAATATTCACATCCAAGTTTGGTGAAAAATATGGACCATCATAGTTAAGATGGTATACAACCAAAAATAATGCCATTGAACCTTTGACACTTATAATATTATGCTCGATATACTTAAGGCTGTAAAAATAATTCATAAAAAAAAATGGACAAGTTAAGTAATTGTATTGTTATAACTTCAAACAAGTTGTAAATAATGTTGTATTTTTATTCTTATATGTTATCATAAATCAATTTAAAATTTAAAATTTAAAACTTAATATTTTAATATAATTCCATTGTTTACCTGCAAAGAATTGTATCTTGTAGTACAAAAAATACTGTTTCATCTACGTAGTGTTTATATTTTTCCCATATTGCTTTAACATCTTCATCAGATAAAATAATTAGAACCTGCATATCTAAATAGTCGATTATCTCTTCTTGTTCTTCCATATCTATTTCTTCTAAAAGCATCTCTTCTTGAGAATGTAATTTTTCTTCAACTGCTATTTCTTCTAGAACAATGTTCTCGTCTTCGTTGATGGATTCTCCCAAATCAGAATAAACTTCCTCTTCTACCACCGCCAAAACCGCTTGGTCTTCCTTTTCTGATTTATTATCTACTCCTACTTCTTCTTCCTCTTCTTCTTCTTGCTTAGTTTCATTATCATTTTCAGTATAAGATTCTCCTAGAACAATATCAGGTGAAGTATTTTACAAAATTAAGACGATGAGAAGAAAGACGTTGTTAAATTGATTATAATTGCGATAGATATGGTATTATCAAAAGTATGTAGATTAAGTAGGTACACCGAGACTAATTTACCATGATTTGGATCCAGCAAAGGTACGTTATTAAGTAACAAAATGTTTTCCTTCAGCAATCTCTGTATTTTTGTACTGGCGGCTTTTATTTCCGCATACCTTGCTGTTTTTTTCTCATCCAACTGATTGCCAAAAGTTATACGTTTTGTAGTTTTATCACGCACGTACAGAGGAATATTTATCCAATGACTAGCTAATGCAATTATTTGTTGGAGATTGGTTTGTGCGTGCACTACACGTTCGTAAAGGTTTCCTGTCAAGACATGAATACCCTTGATCGTTTTTTGTATTAATGTTAATGGAGGTGGACGGTTTTCTTCTTCTTCTTCTCCTTCTATTTCTCTTCTTGTTTCTTCTTCTATATCGTCATACACTATATATATATTCATAAAATAATTATTAAATATATATATATATATATATATATATATATATATATATATATAAACAATAACACATCGTAAGGGTACGCGCTAAGGTTATTCCAAACGATTCACAAAAATAAAAAAAACAGAAACTCTAAATCAGTGGTGAAGAATATTATGAAAATTTAAGATCACATACGGTGATATAGTATACAATTAAATGTATAATCTATACTAAGAATTAATAGCTATCGTTATCATTGATCATTGTAACTTCTTATGTTTCAACTATAAATTTAGGGTTTCAAGTATTAATATCATTAAGACACGGTTTTATTAACCTTCCGAATTCCACGTGACGGATATTTGAGCTTCATTAATTAGGATATCGATATTTTCGATTTCTTTAACTATTAATTGGAACTCTGAAATATGAGTTTTCGTTCTCAGCATATTGTACCTAAATAACAAAATTATATAGTTAGCATAATTAAATAGTATTACATACTATAAATTATTTATAGCATTTAGAAAGCCTAACATTTTAGATTCTGAGTAAAAATAAAAATGTATTGGTTTTCTCATAATATATGGTTTTCTTTCTTTGTCTTTGTAAATTAATTTAACCAGAAAATATCTCCGTTTATCACCAAATAAAAGGTTAAAATAGGAATTCTGTTCCAGTTGATATTTTGTAGATAATTTTATGAATTTCTTATAAATGTATAAAAATTGATAAAAAAATAGCAAAGTTTATAACATATTGATTATTATATGCTATATCACGGTTTTTAATGATATAATAGATGGTTTAATTTTCAAAAGATCTTTTGAACTATTTATAGAAAATTGAAAATGTTATGTTTTGTTTTCTTAGTTTTTTTTTGAAAATGTTGTAAAAATAATTTTACTTTGACAAAAAGTTTTAAAAAATAAATACAAAGTTTCATATCTATTATTAAAAATGAAAAAAAAAATAGCTATATTTAAAAAAAATAATATTTATATATATAACATGTTGACAAAACAATAAAAATCACAAAAATCCACTACATTTTTTTAGTCAAAAATTAATTTTTCAATTTTTAAACTTAATCCTTGAAAATTAAATACAAGAATTTTCATAATATTTTCTTTGTAGCCTGAAAAATAAATAACTGAAAAATCGCAGTAATAAATTAAAAAAAGCGTTACAAAATGAAATTACAAAGAAATTGGATATTTCAATGAATATCTATTAAACAATATTAGTTAATTAAAAAAAAAGTTTTTATGGTTTCGAATATTTTAATAAAGTTTTTGTCATTTATTTACTTAAATTATTTAATCTTTCCCAGATTGTTGATGTATTTTTTTTTTATAAAAGTTGGAACATCAAATGTTCAACCTATCTTACTAAGAAATTAAGTTTTTTTACCTTATCGACCATCTTTAGAAATATAAATTAATCTACCCAACTTCTTTCACTCAGAATCCTATTGTTTTTGTTGAGAACAATTGTACACTGGTTTCAAGATTAAAAAATAATACAGCAATATTATTCGTTCATCCCTGTATCTATCTCTACCGTAGAGTCTCACCCGACCATAGAGTTTTGTCCTTTTTTTAATAATTGGTATATTTTAATATTCCAGAATTGTTTATTCGATAATATTTTAATAATTTAGTTTTTTTTTAAAAAAAAAAAAAAACATTCAGATATTATTATGAATACTTATTTATTGGTATGAATATACAAACCTTAATACCTAGATAATATTTACTTTTTAATATTTAATATTCTTAATATACTCACCATTTTACTATTTCCTCGATATCTATTTTATATGCAAAAATTTGACTTTCTCGTTTGTAGAGCTCAATTGCATCGATTGGTATATCGTCTAATTTGATTTTAAAAATCGGGTCTTTGTAATAGTATATGCCAAGCAATAGATATCTGGTTATTTTGATTGCAGAATCAAGCTTTAAATGAATTTAATTTAAATATTATTTACTCATTATGCCTAATGATAAATAAAAATTTTACTTCTTTTTTAAAATTGATGCTGATTGTTTTATCGCTGTGTAATGTAAACAGTGGATTCGCAATACCCTCCTGTATCTGCTTCGGAACAATGCGTTTCCACTCATCAAAAATAGGATGTAAATATTTTTTTAAATCATCCGTTAGCAAGTCAATCTTTTGTTGAATTCTAATTGCTCTCGGAGATTGCATGATCCTGAATGAACGTTTATAAAATATGTATATAATCATAAAGTTAATTTTATAGATTTATTTATTTAATTTATAGTATAATCTAAATACAGATTCAAATAGCAAATATATAGAAAATATAGCATAATAATATTAATACACATGATTTATTGACCAATAAATTTACTGTTTTAAAATAACTTTTCTCTGGACATTTTAATGTATAAATAATCATTTCGCAAATCAATCTCCCCTAACAGTTAACTTATATTTTCCATACTACAATTTTAAAACATAACGAGTGAAACGAGGAGTGTAATGTATTGTTTGTTCTTTGATAGGTAGTAAAACTTTTGTAGATTTTCATCTAAATTCGAATACATATTAGTAGCATAATATTATAGAAAGTATACTCTACAAAGACTTCAAAGAATCGCTATTTTAATACTAATCCGTAACAGATATTCGGAAATTGAATGCAGTTTACCATAGTATACTGGCCGAAGGCCATCCGGTATTCTATGTCATCTAGTATTTTAAAACCAAAAAAAAAATAATTAACTTTTTTTAGTACGATTTATTACGATCCATCGGTACATTCTAACTTGTTCAATAATATTATAATGATATTACATCAATTATTAATGAACATCACAAATTAATTTATTTAGTGACCTATAAAAAGTATGATTTATGGGCCATTCCCAGTACACGTTAGGCACCGATTTCGTGTTCAAAAATCAATAAAAAAAAAAAAAAATGAAGGACACACACTCGATATCCTCTTTATATTACGACTATTTAAATGTCGTTTTAAACGTAGAATATACGTTTAAAATGTTATTTCCGTTGTTAAGCCGGACGCGTCCGAATGGTTTAAGCGTCTGAAAACAAAAACGGCAACTAAAACAAAAAATGCTGTTATTCACTTACGGTAATTTCATAATCTTAATAGCATCTAGATATTCCAATAATCGGTTTGTCTGTAGCGAATAATCCCACATGATTTCTCTAGCTACCGGTGGGTAAACTTTTTCCAATTCATCGGGCTTGATACGCGTTTCGTAATAGTCACTTAATTCAGAAATCTCCATAGGTGGCTTTTCTGTCAAACTGTCCATAGCTCTCTAAACAATTATGAAAAATAATGACCATAGCTATCGATTAAATTTAAAAAAAAAAAATTTCACTTACCTTCTGTATGGCTATTTCTTCCTCTATTTGATCCAAAATTTTCTCATAGTATTTTGTCACAACAGCTTCCACGACTGGTCGATTCAGCACACCCGAACGGAACACCGTTATGAACTATAAATATTTGATGAAGTAATTATTTAAAGAAATTTCAGATCTTCGATGATATTTTTCTATTATTATTATTATTATTATTATTATTATTAT